AAGCTAGTGGACAGGCAGAACAAGGACAGATTTGTGTTTTTTGTGTAGAAAGTGGATGACATTTTTACTGTTAACTAAAACACATCTTGTTAAATATACTGAGGGCAAAGATGGCCCCTGACAGCTCTAATCGCAGAAGGAACCAGACTCATTCTCCAGTATCTATGGAGACAGACTCACTCTCTCCTGGTGTCAATGGAAAAGGTCTCTGATCTACAAGAACAGGAAGGTCCCCTGCACTTGCCCGTGGATGATTGACTGTACCCACTAATGGCTGCTGAGAACTATGAGATTTGGCTGTGAAATCTGTGACTAGACCCACTGGCCTTTTTTGCTGTGCAGGGTACACAGTCTTATCCCTGCAAGCCCCGCCCTCCTTCCGAGGAGCTCCGTGCAGGCTGGTGAGGTTTGATTTTCAGAGAACAGAGGACGTCCACCAAGAGTTAATCTTGCTTCTTTTCTACAGAGCTTTTAGATGATTGCCTGGTCATAGAGTTTAATTTAGAAAACAAATTCTTAAGACTAGGGATCTGTAATGATGCTGATGTCATAATAATAATCAGATTTCAGAGCCGAATGTAGACTCTTTCAGAAACAATGATTAAGTGTTCTGTGCACAGCGAGAGCTCTCTTAAGCACTATTAATATCACTGTGACAATCATTTAGAGATTAATAATCACCATATTTAGGTCATTTCTCCAAAGCACCAAGAGGCTCAGAGACTCCAATACTTTCAGTGTCTCAAGAGAGTTCCACGTGGTTATTTGTTCAGCCTCAAGGATCTAGGAGTTTCTAAGTGAGTCACTTATCCTCTGCGAAAATGAACAATTCATGCTTCCCTGAGATCTTTCTCGTTGCGAGTGGCTACTCGTTCCTCATCGGTTTCTCACTCTCCATCGTTAGAGCTCACTGCAGAGGGCTTACGAGGCAGAGGCAGGGGAGAGTTCTGCTCTGTCTTGGCTCCCCATGGAGAAACTGGCCAGGGACAGGACGCGGTGGTGATCTAGCTGCATCAGCATCAGCTCATCAGTCGCTAGGGCTGCTTCACCTGACATGGCTCATTGTGTGGATGCCTTACATCTATTTACCTTATCACCACTCTGCCAATCTGTGATTGAGGAGGGAGTATTCTTCCAGAGAGAGAAAACTCTGGAAGGCCAAGGAGTAAGCCTGTGGGGCTGGCCGGCTTCTCTATGGAATAGAAAGGCTAGAGTTACAGTATCTCTCAGCTCTAAGGAGAGGCTTAGATGGACGATTTTAAACATTCTTTTGGCTAGTTGGTGATCTCCGTTCACAGCTATAGAAACTACTTAGAAGTGAGGGGGTGGTAGTATGACCCATAGTATTTTCTGAAAAAGGGGACAAAAGCCAGGATTTGGCAGATCTGTGCTAGATTCACCACCAGAACTTTCAGAGCCACGGAACTAACCACACTGGTTAGTACAATAGTGGGAGGCACAGGATCCGCCCTCTTTCCTCAGACAGGGACATTATAGGCCTGATCAATTTTGGGTTCTCTGAGAGCATTTTGGATATCAACCCCTTCTGTTATCAGCAAATGGCTTTTAATTGCAAGTGACGGAGTCCACTTTGAATTAGCCTTGGCGTGACTGGGGTTCCAAGAGAGAATGAGGCACGTCTGATTCAGGAGTTCAGATTCTCTGGTCAGGATTCTGCCTTTCTGCTCATCTCTTTTGGGCTTCGTTCTCAGATAGGTTTTCTTGAGGCAGATGGCCCTGTAGAGAGCTCCAGGCTTATGTTTTTTATACCAATTCTCAGAAGGAGAGAGATTCTCTGATAGGCCCTACCCCATAGCTCTGTAGAGCTGGGAGTTCCTCTCAGGCCACCCAGGTAGAGGGACGGGGTGCGTGGGTGGGGCTTTGGTTGACACCCAGCTCATCCACAGGAGAAAGAGATGCAGCGCAAACTGAGGAGTCATAGAAACAGAGGCAGTCTGTACTGCCTCTCCAAATTAGTTAGGTCAGCAAGCTTTGGGTCAGAAAGTCCTGAATTTGAATATTGACTCCCCCACTTACCAACCATGTTACCTCAGGCAAGCTGTATAAGCTCACTAATCTTCAGCTTCCTTATTTGGTTTGTGGGAACAATGATAGTACCTATATCAAACAGTAAATGGTAAAAGTCTGAAGAAAATGAAGAACTCAGTATAGTGCCCAGCACATAATAAGGCCTCAATCAATGTTGGCAATAATTAGAAGCCGTTATTATAATCTGGCAACTCTAGAAATGACAAAGAAAGACAGAATGGACATCTTCGTTGTTTTTCTAGTCTGTTTTTGAATGAATAAGAAGGAACTTGTTGTACACATTTCAAAAGATCAGTCGTTTGAAATATGGTCTCAGAAAATAGCTGCATATTCTTTTCCTGAACTACCAGAACCAACTCTGGAAAAGTAAGACCATGGGTTTCTCTGCTTATTTACATAAAATAACAAAAATTAAAGAAAAAGGAAAGCTGGGCTCCAGCATCATGCCTGTCCTGAGACCAATGGCCCTGACCTCCACTGCAGGGTTCCTCCTTCACCCCAGGGACCCCACAGACTGCAGCCTGATCCTGCATTCCTCCACGTGGTGGTCCCAGTAAGGATGTCGTCATCAGCATTTTTCCTTTCCATTCTTTTTCGTGGCAGTTCAAGAAGTTAATCAATATGTCCAGATAGTTTCTCTCCTCCTTGGTGAAGGACTTTCTGTCCTTTCTCGTATTTTATACACGGAGTGTCGGGGAAGGCACAGCTTTGCTTTAGCAATCAAGGAAGACTTTCTGATGGGCTCCAGGGTAGTGGCTAAGAAGGTACGCTCTGGAGCCAGACCGCCGGGGTTCAGATTTCAACTCTGCTGTTTACTGTGTGAACCTGGGTCAATTTCTTAATGTCTGGATGACCTCTTAGAGTCGTTATAAAGATTAGATGAGTTAATATAAGTGAAGCACTTAGAATGGTGATGTGCATAATAAAAGTGTTAGCCATTGCTATTACTATGATCTTAAACTCTTAGAATTTAAGTTATTGGTTCCCCTTGACAAAGAGGTGGGAGGAGGCAGAGATCAACCAATCAAGAATGATGGGCTGAACCACCCTGTGGGTGGTGGTAGGCCACTATGGGGAAACAGAAAGAGGTAGAAAATAGAGTTCTTTTCTGCAAGATGCAGTTAGGAACATAAGAGTGAAATATCAATCTAAAACAACATTTGAAAAGATGTCTTCAGACAGGGAGATCAATTACCAATGAGTGGCTGGAGGTAAGAGCCAAGAGGAGTCACTCTGTATTTTAGGGGGAGGTGGGGATTGAACTAGGCTTTGAAGAAAGGGAAAGATTCTGAGAGATGGGAAGGGCTTTCCAACTGAGTAATAGCATAAACAAAGACATAGTAAGTCAGTTTGGCTGTGGTGAATATTCTAAGAGTTTATGTAGAAGAATAGCGGTAGGAGAGCCTGGAACTTCAGAGGGTGTTGCAGATGGCAGGAGAGAGTTTGGACATAGCATTTTAGTCAACAGGGAGCCTTTGGACAGAGAAGTGACCTGCTAACAGTATTCAAGGAGCTACACCCCAGTGGGAGTGAGCAAGGTGAAGATTAGTGAGAAGAGGGAGAGACCAGTTCACTCAGCACATATTCGTAGAGGCCCTACTATGTGCCAGGGACTCCCTGCTCCCGGCATCCAGACAGACAAGGCCTCTGCTCTCAGGGAACTTAAAATTTAGTGAATTCCAATGGATCTTCTTAAGAAATGCCGGTGGAGGCTGAGGTGATTAGGTATAAGATTGCTGGGGAACAGGATAGTCATATGGTCTCAGAGTCTCACTGTACAGATGACAGATTAATTCAAATGGTTGTGGGCGCCTTTCTGTGGCGAGATCTGGCATTCCTACTGTAACTAAGTGACTGGACCTAGTGTAACTGATATGATGCCATTCTAGGCAGGTAGCCTTAACAAAACTTAAATAAGATCTAATCATGGGGGAACAATCAGACAAATCCAGAATATGGCACATTCTATAAGACACCTGACCTGTGTGCAAAGAAATTAAACATGATTAAAAACAAACCAAAAAGGAAGTATATTGTAGGTTAAAGGAGAAGCAAGCAGGGGTTGTCAAACTATGTAGCTCATGGGCTAATCTAGCCCACTACCTATTTTGTAAAAAAAATTTATTGGCACACAGCTACACCCATTCCTTTATGTGTTGTCTAAGGCTGCTTTTTATGCCACAGTGGCAGACCGAGTAGTTGTAATAGGAACTGTTAAAAAGCCTAAATTATTTACTAACTGTCCCTTTACAGAAAGTTTTCTGACCCCTGGTTTAAAGCAACATCATAACTAAATGCAGTGTGTAAACCTTGATTAGTTCATGGATCCGGGTGAAAAATGAAAATATCAATAAACGTAATTTCAGAGAAACTGGAGAAATTTAAGTGAGGAGTGTGTATTAAATGATGTTACAGAATTCATGTTAACTTTATTAGACATGACAATTGTATTGTGATTGTGTTGCACAATGTCTTTCTTAGGTATTAAACACTGATGTATTTAGGGGGTTGTGTCATGATGTGTACAATGTACTCGCAAATGGTTCAGCCAAAAAAAAAAAAAAATAGAAAAAAAAGAATAAAGTACAGGATATGGCAAAATATTACTTTGTCAATCTAGGTGAAGGTCATACAGTGTTTATTATACTGTTCTTTCAATATTTCTGAAGATTTAAAGATTTTCAAAATAAAAGTTAAGTTTTAAAAGCTTTGACACGGTTGGAGGGGTTAATTTGGAGACCGATTTCAGTAGCCTCCATGTAATCTTCCCATAGGCTGTAGCCTGACCTGCGTATGCCACCTACCTGGCATTTCCTTCTGGGTCGGAGAAGACACCAGGCAGTTAGAGGTGGGCTGCCTGTCACCTACAGGGGCACTGTCACTCTGGGGGGCAGCCCTAACTGGGACTTCTTTTTTAACTCGAGATTTTGCTTGTTGTCTCTTTTACACAGTAATTCCATCAAGCTGGTGAATCTGCTCTCCATATTTATCAGCACGTGGCTAACAGCAGCCGGGTTCATCCATTTGGTAAGTATCCTTGGAGACAGATGCTTCAGCTCTGGCTTTCCTGGAAGCCCTTCTCTAAGTCATTTTATTACCTGAACTGTTTCTCACTATTGAGAAACTTCAGCGCAGCTGTAGAATGGAGTGGAAGAGGCAACTGCACAATTATCTAGGTTTCCAACCCTTTTATCCCAAACTTATTCCAAATAGTGAGTAATGTTCACACTATTATCCTACGTTTTTCAGCTCAAGGGTATTTGTATTCATTGCTGTGGGGGCTTTGGTACGTTTTCATTCTGTCTGCAGTAACCCCAGTGAGCCACAAGATGGCAGTGCTTCCTCAGCAAACACCAGAGAAACATCTTGGGGACAAGGCTGGAAGTTTGACCCACATCTCTTCATAAACAACAAATTCAGATCTATTGATTTCTCTCCACTTTCCCCTTACAAAAGCCACCTCTGATTCTCTTGCCTGATGACTTATTAAGTTATTTTGTATCTCAAAAAATGTTAATTCTTTTAAATTAATGACTCTTTGAAAGCCTTATATTATGAAGTCAAACTGTTTTCACCTCCCAAAGGCAGACTTTTTTCTTTTGGGGAGCACAGCTATTGTTGGAAGTCAGTTTCACATAAACGCAAACTGTTACAACTGGAAGAAGCCCCCTCTAAACCTGAAGCTTTGAGTAAAAGTGCCTGCCCTTCTCTTGCTGAGCCCCTGTGTGCATAGGGGCGGAAGCGTGCGTTCTGTTACCTGCCATTGGGAGGGATGTCATTAACACCCAGGGGAGCGCAGCCCAGAGGGAAGCTCAGGCTTCTCATTCAGCCACTAGATCTGACAGTTCCCCATCCATCTCTTTATGCTGATGGGATTCTTGACTGAAATCACCCTTAGGTAATCACTCCAACTCTGCCAAGCGCCAAGATCACCGATAGGGAGGGGTTAGTCATTTTCAGTAGGCCAGTGACCGTACTTTCCTCCCGTGTGAAGTATCTTCTCCTTCTCAGGGAACCTCCATGAAAACGGCACGTTGAGGGCAAGTGCTGATGTGTGACAGAGGCCAGGTCCAGGAAACTTTCTGCAGAGGCATAGTTGGAGGCCAGGGAGCACGGGGACCTGCCCTCCGCACCAGCCATGCTGATAGATTACAGGCACCCGGTGTATTGTGGGCCTGGGTTCTGGGGTAGACCTAGAGATCCAGCTCCCATCTCTTCCTCTCCCCTGAGAGTATCTAAAGTATCTCTGTTGCCTGCTTCACAGCTTTGTTGGCAGATCAAATACGGTGGGAGGACTGAAAGTGTTTTTTAAAATTTAAAGCAGAGATGGGTAAACTACAGCCCTGGTGCCAAAGGTTTCCAAATTTGACCATGCTTCCTTAGTTTAAGTCTTGCCTCTGGCTGATTTCACCTACAAGTGCAGAGTCAGTTGTCCCTACAGAGATAAGAAGGTGTATGGCCCTCAAAGCTGAAAATATTTACTATCTAGCCCTTAACAGGAAAAGCTTGCTATCCTTTGGTCTAAAGGGTTGTGTGAAAGCAAATTGTTCTCATGAGCTCACTTACTGTGCTCCCAGGGAAATTCCTGCAGTCTGCAGGGTAGAGCCAGTGTTGACATTCTGCAAAGCAGGGAGGCGGAGTCAGACTCCAAGAGATGCTGATGGGGGTCTGGGGTAGGAGCCGAAGGAGGGAGGGCTACCGGGCATCGCCTTGGTCAGATGATGAAAGGTGGGGCCCTCTGTCGGTGGGGCGTCTAGACTTTCTTTGGGAGCATGTAAGTTGGGCCTTCTGAGACTGAGCAGGAACTCACTGAGAAGGTTAGGGCAGGGCTCTCGGGCTCTTTCCTTGAAGGGAATGCCATAAAACATGGCCATGGCAATGCCCTAAAATTCAACTGGCTTCACATTTTCAACAATGAGAAGGAAAATGGACTAGGGATATTTACTTCCATTCCTTTCCCTCTCTGCCTCAATCACCTAGGAAGTCATGGCTATGTTACTCCCCTTTTACCTTCTCTATTAGCTGCTCAGCCCTCGCTTACAGAACTCAGCCCAGAGCAGCAAAGACCTCCGGAAGCATCCTGCTGGAGCTTTGTGTTCCTGGTTTATTATAGACACACACACACACACACACACACACACACACACACACACACACACATTCATACAGTATAACATTTTCCTTTTCTCCCCTGTCCCCTTGCTTTAGGTGGAGAATTCAGGGGACCCATGGGAAAATTTCCAAAACAACCAGGCTCTTACATACTGGGAATGTGTCTATTTACTCATGGTCACCATGTCCACTGTTGGCTATGGGGACGTGTATGCAAAAACCACGCTTGGGCGTCTCTTCATGGTCTTCTTCATCCTCGGGGGACTGGTAAAAACTCTTTATTACAATGTTGATTTTTATGGTCATTAATATTTTCTATTATCCATTTCTTTAAAGGTTTGTATTTTGATACTGTGTTTCTGCATTAGAAGCAAGCTATTGCCTTAGTGTTACAGTCAGGCTAAGTAAACCCAGGTGTGAGGATGACTTTTCTGTATATTTCTTTGTTGTATTATACTTGTTTCTCAGAGACCCAGGCATATTGTCCTTGTCAGGGACAGCCATTTAGCCAGGAGCAAACCTAATTGTCTTAAGAAAGTGATTCTCACTTATTAAGTGAGAGTGTCTGTCCCATAGTCATGTAATTCAGCATCTGATATTCTATAAGGACAGCTGCTGTCACCTGAGCCTGGTAGATGCTGTAGATACTCTATATACAGTTTGCGGTTTCAAGAGCTCCCCCGCCCCTTCGCAGTCCTCCCCAAACTTCCAACAAACACTGTGGCTGGGGCCTACCCTAAAGAGTAGGGTCCCCAAATCAGAGGATGGAGAGCCTGCTGGCCTCGTCCAGGTGGCCATTACCACGTGAGCTGTGTGTTGGTTTTATAAACAGCCAACAGACTCCATTATGGATGACACCTGGGGTATTTTTTCTCCCCCTTTGTAATTCAGAAAGTTTCTCGATTTGCTTTTCTGGTCTGTGCCGATTATAATGGTCGGTTATGATGTAATTTTCAATGGGGACTTGGGGTAACGAATTGGCGGTTGCTGCATTTTTGTCTTTCAAAGTAGCTCACTTTAAGTTTAGGTTTTTGCTGTGTATGAGGTAAGCGATTAAAATCCTACTTCACACACAGCTTTCACATATGTACACCGCACACGCATTTACGTTATGCATATACGTCTCTCTGTTTTCTATGCATACGACATATACATTTTAAAAAATGTATATAAATGTATGTGTGCGTGGGTACGTTAAGGCAGGTGCTTCCGCAGCACCTGCGAGGTCTCCGCAGGTAACGGGACCCATTGATCCAGCCACAAGCACAGTGTTTGTTGGACAAAACATGGCAGATATGTGTTTCTCCTTGCTCTACTTTCCTCCCATGTGATTTTCTAAATTTACCTCATGTGCTTTTTAGTGATTTTTTTAAATGGAAAAGTTTATATTTTTTAAAACATGGTGTTTATTGTCTTTAGTCACTCATACAGGCATTGATTCTCTTTTAAATTTTAACTAGAAAGAAAGGTCTTCTCGTGCAATAATGTGTGTGTATGTGTGCGTGTGTGTGTGAATGCGTGTGTGTGGGTGTGTGAGTGTGTAATTTCCCCAGCATTCATCTCCTTTAGTTATTTCTCTTCAGGAAGAAAAGCTAGGTGTCAAATTATTTATTCCCGTTTCCTTTGTATTTTTCTGAACTGTGATTTTTATTTATTTATTTACTTTTCATCTATTTATTTATTTATTTATTTATTTATTTATTTATTTATTTATTTATTTTTAGTTTCTCGGGTTGGCTAATGTTTGTTTTGTCCCGTGCATTTTCAGGAGCTTGCCCTTTTTGTGCTTTTATTTATTTATTTTTTTTATAAGCTAGCGTATCAGTATATACCTTAGAACCTTTGCAGTTCTAATCCTTTTGTGTTTTCAGATCTTAGTATCCCCCCTTTTGAAAAGGTCACCCCCTTTCTTTGGCCTGTCTTTTTAGTCTCTCTTCTGTCTCCTATCTTCTCCTCAGGCCATGTTTGCCAGCTACGTCCCTGAAATCATAGAATTAATAGGCAACCGCAAGAAATACGGGGGCTCATATAGCGCGGTCAGTGGGAGAAAGTAAGTATGCCAGGAGGTTTCGCTGCCTCCGCTGCGGTAGAATCCTCTCTGCATGCCATTTTTTTTTTTGGCTCTTGTTTCTTTGTTTCATGCATGTAGGCAATGTTTGCCCGCTACGTGCCCGAAATTGCTGCTCTCATCCTGAATCGGAATAAATTCGGCGGGACTTTTAACAAACATGGAGGCAGAAAGTAAGTCAGTTGCATCAGAAAAGATGTGGTTGAGTGGCTTCCAAGAGTCCCTGTGGCGGTGGCACCTGCACCCTGCCCCTCTCCCATCCCACCCACCCCACCTTCGTGAGGGAAGGTTTACGTTCTGTGTGGGGTGTGATGTCAGAGGTTACCCAGGTTGTCACACTTGGGCCAACTCTCTAGGCCTGTTCCCAGTTCACAACTTTCTTCCCCATCCATCTTTCCAAGAGACATACTAGATTTATTCTGGAAGAGGTCCATGTGTTTCGATTCCTAACAAGTAAACAAAGCTCATTCATTTTTCAAACTATCTGGCGTAGTGACGACACTCTGGTCCTTCGGACTAAGACGATGCCATTTTATGGGGGTTTCTGTGCAGCAGTAACCTGGGATCATACTCCAGCAGGGAAGTCTTAGGGAAGACAAAATCAAGGTCACCTTGCTTACTGTAAGGCATTGCAGCCACCATGAAACCAGTTTTCCTTAGCCAGGAGGCACAGAGCTTGTCCTCTAAGGGGCTCATTACTCAGTTGAAATTCCTTTTGGGCAAGATATATTTACGGTGTGTCAGGGCCCCGCAGAATATTCTTGGTCAGTCTTTTGTTTCGGCTTCCCGTATGTGAATGCTTTCTACTTGGGGGCTATTTCAATTTGTGCTCAGATCACTTTATCAATATCGGTATCAGTATGTGGTTCCCTTATCAACCAGAAGTTTTACTCCGGAGTAAATGGCAGGACCTCACCACCCTGTCATTTGCCAGCCACCATTCTGCAAGGAAAGCGTTGGGGGGAGGCAGGGTTGGCAGCAGCCATCTTTACATTTGTAAAAAAGCTTTTTCTTGGGCACTCAGCTTTATTTGCTTGTTTTTGTTTTTGAGGTTTTGTTTATTATTTTTTGAGTTGTTCTTTTTGTTTTAATTTTCACAGAGTAAGATGTGTGCTTTCATGTACAGCTCGAGGAATCTGCACCTATGTGCACAGTCCCTCCCACCCGGATCTAGATACAGAATATTTTCATCACTCACGTCCCTTCCTAGTCATGAGACTTCCTATCATGGAACTAGGTTCCCCACCCCTGCCCCACCCCCCCGCCCAGTCCTTTTTCCGACAAACTCTGTAATAGCCTATTTTGTTTTTTAAAGAGAAGATCAAACCAGTACCATTGTATTTCCCTCCATCACTTCCTCCTTCTCGCCTGGTAGTCATATTGGATGGAGCCTCCTCTCCTGTGGTGGTTCCAGTAGCTCCTGAGCTCAGGTGTCCAGGCCGCCTTTCAGCAAATGAAGAGGTGGAAAAAAGGGCTCGTTTTCTTGAACTATCCACAGGATACCCGTTTCCTTTCAAAAGAACAAAGGGCAGTGGGCGAGAGGAGGCCAGTTGGCGTCTTTTCTGTGGAGGCATCACATTGCTCCACCTTTCCCTCTAATGGAGCCCTCCTCTTCCTGTTATCTTAACAGCCCTGGATGAGATTGGAACCAAGCTGTTCTGATTTCTGGGCCACTGCTTGGATCCAAAAGGCCAAGTATGTCCAGAGATTCCCATTGGTCATTTGTTCCATGCCAAGCGGAGAACAGCTTCTCTGTCTGTTTTGCCTTTAAGGTGTAGACATGTTGCCATAAAGCAGAAGGCATTCTGAGGGCTGGGGCTCTCTTTACGGCCTCCCCACCCCGCTGTCCCAGCCAGCATTTTCTTATTACTGCCCCCGATGGAGTCAATAAAATCGATTGCCCTGAAGTCTATGTTGAGAATATTTCTTGACTCTCACGCCAGGTAAATTTTTTTCCCCCAAAATAGTTTCCCTTGTCAAATGTTAGATGGGTCTGGTGGCTGGCAGCTTTAGTTGATGGCTAACCCAGAAGAGACCCTCAGACAATGCTCACTCCCTGGCCTGGTCTGATCCTGGTCATTTTTCTGCCTTCACACATGCATTCCAACCCCATGTGGCGATGACTTCAGATCACAGGCTTCCTGTAGCTTTTGTTCTGCCTCCACTTCTATAATCTTTTATCATTGCTTTTAGCCTCTCTCTCTCTCTCTCTCTCTCTCTCTCTTCTCTCTCTCTCTCTCTCTCTCTCTCACTCTCTCTCCCTACCCCCCCCTCTTTTTTTCTCTCTCCACCCACCTCCCTCTCTCCCTCTCCCTCCCTCTCTCTTTGCCATCTCTTCTTACAAAAATGCACACTTTTCTTTTAATGTTCTCTTTGGGTCTCCGATGTCCCCCGACCCAGGGGGACAGAGAGTAGGTTCTGTCATCAACACTGGGACTGCTCACTTTACGCATTGTTTCCTGGTTCAAAAGCTAATTACTAAGTAGTTTAAAGAAGCCCTTTGGTCACTTAGATCTTTCATCAGAAAATATAAGCTTGGGAAAGAAACGGTAATAAAGGGCCATTAGCACCCTTTGTTTGATGTTGTTTTTCCAGTCAGTAGAACAAGATTGATGAAATGTTATGTTTGGCCAAAATTTGAGTTTTCATTTGGAATTCAGTGTTGAGAGAATGGGCTGTCAGAATCAATAAGTTTTCTTGCGCTTGGGATATGGGCATGTGGTAGTAATTAGCAATATAAGGTCTTTAGTTGAGCAACCAAGCATGGATTCTGGCAGCAAACATAATGAGAAACTACAGTTGTTCTATTTCTAACGTCAGAAAGTTTCCAGATAAAATTAAATGCATTTGCAAAAGGAAAGCAGCTAAACTTTGTTGAAAGATAGAGTTCAGACTCTTAAAATAGCATGCTTCACCCCGTGTTTTTATGTATGCATAAATATACGTGCTATGCTCTTGGACACATGTACATTATTGCTGCGTCCTAGGATTTAATCAAATGAATGCCCAGAAAGCAATTAAAACATATACATGGTTAGGGGATTTGTTTACGTGTGCATATTTTACTCAGAAATAACCTCCCTAACAATGCATTAACTTGTCAGAGAACTCAAGGTAACTCGTGACCCAAAGCTATGGAGACATACAACTTTGAAATCTAAAGATTATTTAGAGTAAAAAAAAAAAAAAAAAATTAGGTAGAGAAGCTCAGGATTTTGTTTATGCAACACCCAATTTCAGGATAATGGAGAATGAAGATTTCGTGGGCACCCGATTTTCAGTTTTAATCTGTGTTTGGCACAATGTAAACACTTCACATAGTGTCCCTAGTAAACTTTCACCATCAATACGATATCTGGGGTCTACATGGCTTTCTCCAGCACTCTCATCATTATTCCACACCTGACCTCACACAAGACACCAGAGCCAACAGTGGATGGGGGACTGTGTGTATGTGTGCATGTCACCTATTCTCTAGTTTATCTTATTATGATTTATTGGGGCTCCTAAGAACAGGGACTTGGGTGTCAACAACCAAGTGTTCAATGAGCGGCCAAGGCAGGCAGTCTTCCCAAGGTAGAGGTCTTGGGGACAGTTGGCCCTTGGGATGGGTCCCCAATCATATTCAAAAGAG